CTCTCTCTGTATGTATTGGAAACTTTCGGAATTTAAGTAATCTGTTCTCTACTCTCTTTGTCCCCTTTTTTCAGATTTACCACTAATCAAACCTATCACTTTGACGATCCCAGAAAGAGTGCACCTCCTGCAACGGTATGTGGTTTTTTGTGCGCACTTATTTGGCATCGGACGTGTCATTTCCAGTGCTGTTTTATGTGCTCTCTTTCTCCGCCACAACTTTCGTGGCTTCGCCTCACGCTCTTGTACATTGTGGTCGCTTAATTTGACTACCCAAATTGTTTCATATTAATGAACTTAATCATACTGGTGGAAATGATTCAGATTTCAAAATAAATGAAGAGTACTGTGTGCAAAGAAATCACGTTGCCAACTTGCCATCGACTTATTTCCCACTCCCCTTCAAAACAATTTTTAACTATTCTACAAATTCGTACTATTGCCTTCAGTCACTTCTCTCCCGAAGATTTCCCAGAACTTTCAGCGTTTTTGTAATGAGTTGTATATGAATGACTAGACGTAATTCCCTTATTCTTATACGACTCACTATAAAAACACTGAAAATCGGTCTTAGCTCCGAGTGGGCTGAGATTAGACGCATGTAACTCAAAACATAATGCAGGATCATCGTAATGATTCTTTGAGGCTTGTTCTTCTCGAATCCATTCCCCGAGCTGCAAATGAGATTTGCGTTGCCTAGTTCTCACAACTGTCCGATTTGCACCGACCTACAAGACTTGTGGACCCCAAATAAACATCTTAGGACTTTAGCGTCACTTCTGCTTGTCCTTCTGTTCCCTAGGTGTCGCCGATAATCATCTACACTCTTGAACCGATCCATCTGTGCGTACCCTCTCCGTCTTAAAACAGTAGAATACTCGGTGATATCGTGCTTTTACTTCCTTGATCCCCACCCTCCGACTAACTATCAGAAAACCTTCACATGCGTGAGAATCACGTAATAAATTCACAGACATTCGATCTTCAAAGCAAATATTTGTCTGGCGCTCATAATAACTCTCATGGTTTCCGATCATTCAGCAGTAGGTTGTGTCATGTAAAAACTACTACTGAATTGGGCCAAATTGAAGCATTCCGAAATGATGATTTAGAACTTTGGTTTATTTAAAGGTAGGACGTTTTGTGAGCGCAAAGTGTTCATTGGAAACATTGTTCCCATTTCACTGGTTCCCTGACTGTTGCCGATTTGTTATGTTTCTCGCCGCTCGCTCGTATTTTCTTTCCCTTCATCGATTTCTTATACAATTAGCGTCCTCACAAAAAGGCCGCACAACCCCTGGCATCTCACCGATGCTCTCAATACACAGGTAGAACACACTTCTCACAGTAGATTCTCCGTGGAAGGGGCTTCCAAACAACCTGCAAGACAGGGAGAACACAAAAGCAACCATGAACGAAAAGGTCCAACGAGACATGAACACGACCCACAATGAAATCAAAATGGCTGCCCCAGTGTCTTCACTACAGTACTGATATCTATACTTTGAAATAATTTCAACTGTCAAGGTCATGTTGATGAAGGCACTGCTTTTCGTTCTTGAAAACCCTAGGCTCTGGGGTTTTTAGGTATTCTTCTTTTTCATTGTCACAATTTATTGAGATTTCCCAAGCGGGCTAATTCCCAGTCCGAGAACGATGTGGCCCAGTTTCATCCTCTTGTAAGATCCATCTTGTCATGTACAACACATTAACTGACTTCATCGACGCACCCAACTAGGGTTACTTCTTCCGTCTATTCAAATCCACCTGCAGACATACACATAGATAGAGCTGATCGGTGGATTGGATGATCTGACTTCCTTTTGTCCTCGATGACGTAGTTTGCTAACGCTAAATTGTTGCCGAATAAGTCATGGGAGTTCCCTTGGTTGCTCATATGACTGGATCGAACAATATTTCCCCCTCTTCAAAACACTATAGTGAATTTCACCAATTCCACTGTAGAGGATTAAATCTACATTGGAAAATTTTTCTCCAAGAGTTTCATGAGGGAAATTGAAGTCCAACCTTTAGTCTCTGATACTCACCGACGGGATCAGCGTTAGTGCTGGACATCAGTTATTGTTTTTGCGATCTGTGTTTCAGCTACTCATAAGTAGTGACGTAAGATAAGTGTTATTATCAAATATGGCTGACTTCATCTTCATCCGGTTAACCATACACTCTTGTGTTGTCAAAAGGTATTGAAATTGGTGTATTATTTTTTAGAAATGTCGGATTTCGTGGAAGTTATTTTCATAAGGAAAAGAATTTCCATCAGTTTTGGATTCTTCTATTTTGATCAGTTTTTGTTCTTAATTCTGTTCTAAATGATCAAATGATTAAAGCCGGTAAAAATCAGAAGTAAAGCAAAAATTAAGTTTATTTTTCCATTTTGCAGCATAAATTGGTATTGTACAGAGCACGAATCGTTTATTATATTTTTATTTGAGATAGAATAATCATGAGTTTCTCCGCTGCATAGATAACGGATTTCGTAAACCTGAAATCATTTTACTTAGCCTTTTCTGTGGTAGCTTCAATCGCCATTATTCTTTCAACTCTCACTACATGTTCTTTGCGCTTATTCTGCATTGCATTCCTTAGTCTCATTCACAGACTTATCGAGCTATCTATGATTACGAGGCCCGTGAAGACGATGAAGTCACTTTTATCGAGGGAGATATTATCCTGAATGGGGATCCAATCACCGAAGGTTGGATGTTTGGCACTGTGCAGCGCACCGGACAGTTTGGCATGCTCCCATCTAATTATGTGGAACTTTTGAAATGAACACTATTTCACCCTGCCGTCTCTCTCACACGACTCTTTGGATTTACCACCAATCAGTCATTTGTTTTTCACCATGCTCTCTGCTATGAGAGTTGTTCAGATACACGCTGGTTGGTTTACAATTTTCTGTGCCGTGTTTTGTTTCGATTTCCGGTCCGTTTCGTCTTCTCCAACCAACGCCAATTCGGTGCACAATAGTGATTACCCAAGTCATGTCCCGTCATAGTCAGAGTCTTTTGTTTGTGTTCTTTTTTAAATTCCATCGAACCCTTGCCGGTAACGAGTGCAGAAGGCCTCGTTGATGACTTTTATCGCGTCTCTCCGTCTTTGTTTCCGACCTCTCAGTTGCTTCCGTTTGAAAAGTGAACTGACTGATTTGGGCCTTGTCGTAAGTATTATTGTTCCTAGTGAGCATTTTGGATCGTCCTTTCTTTTTACTGTGCGTTTTATGCTACTTCACAATCTGCTTTTTCGAACAGTGCCGATGAGCAGCACCGCTTCCATTCCGTCTGTCCCACCCGACGCACATATCGCACACAACGCTTTGATCACAATTTTCCAAACTCGATTATCTTCTGAGCGATGCTTCGTTCCGATCATCTTGATATACACATACATATATTATAATGCGATCTGTCACCATCCGGAGTGTAAAGCCCGTTCAACAATCGTGTTGCTCCGGGCCAAATCAACAAGCCGATGTTATTTACCTATTTTCATTGATCCGCCTCAGGAATGTTTCTACTGTATCTGAGCTGTTCTATACCCTCCACAAACGTTTTACTTTTTAAAGCGCGTTCTTTTTTTACTCCGGGTTCATTATTTTCAGATTCACTGGCTGCAAGAATTTCCTAAGTTCGCATGTCATGTTCTGATTTTGGTTGTTGTGTATTAACGATCAATGTGGCCACTGGAAAAGGAACTAGGAAAGAGAGAAATCTTTCAGTCAAAGAATAGTTCCGTCAGTCTCTCCCTAGAAGGGTGCTAATAAGAAGACGCTCGACTTCTGAAGACACCGCCCTGCTATCGTGTTTTCAAGTCGGAGATCTTATGTCGGAAGCTCGATTAGAGCGAAACTATTCCAAGGATAGCTTGTTTTGTATAATATGTGAAAATCTAATGATACTAAGGCAGTTGGCGTTGTTAATGACCTGATCGACTGAATACCATCGCTTCAATTTTCGGAGATTGTGAGCGAATTGTGTCTATCCTAAGTCGAGGATTTAGTCACAGGCTTGTCAATCTAAAAATAGAACTGATCGAAGCAGGGAGGTGTGTGATCAACGAGTGACGCGTGGCCAAGTCATGAAAATGATTGATTCAGCCAAATTTCTACGGTGCTGCATCAATAAAGAATCTCATAACAGCGCGAGAACAAGAGTCAAGGTTTCGAAGTCACGGAATATGAACCGCAAAAGTAAGCACAGAGCACACTGTGGGAAATTGTGTCGCTAAAATACAAATGCCTCCTGTAGGCACTAGCTTATCGATACCCCGGGAGATTACGGCTATGTCGCAAACGTACGTTCCTACGAGGAGAGAACGAGGCGATTCACAAAACGGAGGACGACGTGTATTATAAAGACCTGCAGAGCAAGAGAGAGATACAGAGGCGTGAGAAAGAGTGCGGAAAGTGACAGGAAACGCGTGCTGACNCTTGGCGTCGTAAAACAATAAGGTGCACAAGAGGAAGGGTACACGTAGAATGGGAATTCGTTGATCACTAGACTCCAACGAAAGTGAACCTGTAAAAGTCTAACGTGATAAATGCTTACTGTTTTGCGTTATGCGATCACTTTCACTGAGCTCAAATGATCGATTGCAAACGGGTTTTTTTGTTCGAAAGTGGCGAAATGCCCACGATATCGCGATTGAAATTCGTTCGAGCAAACGAACACTCGACTTTAGTAAGAACGAGTACCGTGTTGGAACGTAAATGTGCTAGTTGTGATGTGGACGAAACGTCGGAGTCAAAAGCATTGTCCAGAAAGAGGAATTAAATACTCGATGATCATCAATGTGGTTTAGCACCAAACTTCAGCGCGTGGAATATCTCCTACATAATAACGCACAAGTCTGGACAGAAATGAGAATTCCAAAGCAAAATGACAAAAAGGCTCAGTAACACAATTACAAAACATGTTCCTGAACGAGGAACCATCGTTACTTCAGAAGTTATCTCCTCGGTGTTCGCGATGCTGTAGCACTGGCGAACCTGTACTAACAAGGTACTGTGACCTTTTGTCTAAGTCCTCTTTGATTCAAAACAGAGTTGTTTTTCCAGGTGCACTTTACCTGTTTACGCACAACCGCGGAATTATAACTCGTCCTGACGAGTCACGTTCTGTTGTTGCACGTGCAACCCTTTCCTTGCATATCTCGCTCTGTGAACCGCTGTTCACGCATTGCTCGTTTTCTAGCTCGTTCGGATCCACAGTCTTATTTCTCTTCACCGTATTCGCGTGCGTTGAAGAAATCCGTAATTATTTATCGTAGATTTCGCGAGCTATCTGAAATTCTTGATTAGGATGCATATGCACCGCAGTTGCAAGGACAAAAAGATGACTACATCCTACTCAATAAATTACAAAAATAATGTCAACATTATATGCGTCCACCATTGTTCAGCATGTGTCCGAAGGTACTCAATGCACTAGATATGTAGTGGAAAAGATACTACATATACGAATAAGGTATATGGAACAGATTCACAGGATGATTGTCCGGTCGGTTGATGGATTCCGTTCCTGGGATGTGATTCCAATTGACAATGCTTGATGGAGATCTTCATCTTCATCTTTGTGCTGAGAAGGCAGAGAGACCGCGCCCCGTATGAACCTCTTAACCGCCGGTACCGATAGCAACACGCTCAGTTGTCTGCAAGCTGCCATCGTCTCACGAAGTGCTCGTCGGGACGATGTTTGAAACGCGCCTCATTCTGCTTCTCCACAACCTCCGACGGGAGTGAATTCCAGAGGAAAGTCGCCCTCCGGGAAAGGCGATAGACCAGAGGAAGCCCCGTTGACTCAAGCTTCCGGAGGGTGAGCCTGTGGTCGCGCGTCCGGTTGCAATCTTGCAGTGGAAAAATAGCACGTAACTCCGGTCCCAGATCGCCACGTAGGATCTTCCACAGGTAGATCAAATCCCCGATGAGTCTCTTGTAGCTAACGAGGTAGAGTTCGAGTGCCTGGAGCCAGCATTCCTAGCTGATCCCGTGAAGTCACGCGACTAGGCGGGTGGCGTAACGCTGTACCCGTTCCAAGTTGGCCGTTTCGGAAAGCGGGTATACAGCGGGTCCACCGTATTCAAGCCGGGGGGGAAGATGAGAGGCAAACAGCTTCTTGAAGGCTGTGAACTACAAAACCCAATGGCACTTCAACCCACCCTACAGAAGTCACCGCGGAGGAGTTTGGGAACGGCT